CGTCTCCCAGTCGAGGACGTAGGCGGAGGAGCTCGACTCGGGGAACTTGCTCATCAAGGATGATCGCCGGACGAGGAGCGCGGGCGTGTTGGAGCGTTTTGTATGGAGTTCGGCCGAGTCGCTGGCCGTGAGAGGCGGCGACTGCTCGAATGTCTTTGATCCGACCATTGCTCCCTATTCAGTTTTGATTTGATGTAAGCCACTTTTTTGACCGTTTCGCGTTGCCGGCTGGGTGCTATGTTATGAAAATCTCCTCTTTTTTTCAACGAGAACCATCTCGAACGACGCCAGAAAAGAAAGATCACCCTCGAGTTATAATAAAAGTGAGATTGAAGCCATGGCTGGCAGCTTGGTGCCATTGTTGGCTCATCAAGTGACCTGAGCTAGAGCATCTGGATTTAGAGCTTTCCCACCCCCCTAAGCTCTCTCACCTGTGCTCTAGTCCCATCTTAGTCCGACTTTGGGCCCAAAGTGAGATGTGGTTTTGGTGGTGTCGGCCGGCCATGGCAGCTCGGTGGCTGACTGTCGCGAAATGACGGGGATGAGATTCGCGTGCTCTAGTTTAGTCCTGAAACCATCCGGGGCAGATGTCGATGAGTAGTAGGCTTGCCACGTCAAGCCATCCCTTCTACTTGAAGGATACGAACAATGTGTGGTTTCGGAACACGCTCATGATCAGGTTCGGCACACGGCACGCTTGCTAGATTGGCGCCTACGATAAATGCGCTTCAGAATTCCCAAAGTCAGAGAAAATCTGTGTTGGTTGTATGTTCATAGAGGTCGGCGGCGATGGTGGTAATTCAAAGTCATCTCTCATTGCCAGCTCATAGACAACCTTTCGATGAAGGTAACAGACGGCTTGGATGCTATGATTCAGTGCCTCGCGTACAGGCTCTTACCCAATCTTCTACCCTGACAAGAAAGACATCTGAAGGGGCATACTTAGACGTCATGTAAGACGCTCTAACGATAACCTCCTTTACCGCTCCAAACTATCTTGAAAGATGGAGGTGTGGACGGACGTTGTTGGAAGATGACGGGAAGTCCGCGCGCATCTTTGGTGTGGGTGGGTGAAGGCGCACGAGCCGCTTACAAGTCCCTCCCCATTAGGTAAGGCGCTCACCGAAGACACACTTCACCTCACCGACAAGGGGGACTGATGCTTTTTTTCGGGGTACCTTAGGTAGGTTCCTGGGCACCTCGCCCAAGGTTAGATTGGCGGGGTTCAAGCCACAACGCGTCCCACCGCGACTCACCGAAACAACTTCCCGTCGATAATTGACCAGAACCTAACGAAACGTCGCTGTACCACGTTAGCGCCGACCAAACTTGACTTTGGTATATAGTACGAAACAGAGCAAACAAGAGACAGCTGGATCATCACAATGGAGCAGGGGCGGGACTCCACGCTGCTGCATTCGCAGCCGGAGTTGTCGCCGTTGGAGGCCGAGGTGCTGGAAGAGTACGAAAAGTTGGCGGATAACATGAAGAAGGTTCGTCCCGTCACACAGCTTTCCTACATTGCATTCAGACTCGGACCTTTCCCCCTTCCCCCCTTCTCCCCTCTACCCGATCCCAAAGACCTGCAAAGCTAACTTGTCCCCCTTTTTTTGTACCGTAGCTTGCTTCAACACTCGAAGACCTGAGCGGCTCGCCGAGCACCGAGATCCTCGACGGCCTGCGGGAGCTAGAGCGCAAGACGAGCTTGGTGTTTACGCTCCTCAAGGCGAGCGTGTACAGTATAGTGCTGCAGCAGGAGATCGATTGGGGTGACCAAGCCAGGAGCCAGGAGGAGGAGGAGGAGTAGAGGAAGACGAATACGTGGGATCACGAGGGTGCAACATCTATATTGAGAGAAGGCATGCTGCAATCCGCGGCGGTTTTGTCCGGATTATACCGCAAGAGGAAGTTGGAGAGAGTGTACAAATGCACGACGAGACTACGATCAGAGCAGATACCCCCCCAAGAAATACACGACGCTAATCACTTTATGACATGAAGATTTGCGTTCACTGTTCACGGGGGCAAGGGGGCCACAGACGGGGTTCTCTAGAGATTTGCGCTTTTTGTTTGAACATTTACAGTGGTATACAGAAGTGGTATACAGATTAATACACAGATCCGCCGTAGTAGACCTTTCTCACGTCGACCATCTTCTTTCCGCGACCAATGGCAATCTCCTCCGGATCAGGTTGGTTCATGAGGGCCTTGTAGACGGCGTTGACGGTGTTGTAAGGGTTCTTGGAGCGGGGGATCTTGGCCGCCAGATCGTGGATACCGGCGAGACGGGCCATTTCGAATATCCTGTGAGAGACGCGGAGTCCGAAGCCTGATTGTGTGTTAGTATAACTGTGTCAAAAAAATAACAGAGAACGAGGAACTAGCAGGATTAGAACGTACCTGGGGGACGGGCAAAGAGCTGCACAACAGTTCCCGAGATCTTAGTCTCGACGTTGCCGTAGATGGTGCGGTTTTCGTATCTGCGGATAGGCTTCATGTTGCGGATAGCCAGAAGCGTGGCCGTCGCTGTTGCAATACCGGGGTCCGTCGACTTAGCCTCTCCCAACCCCAGTCTGCCGTCTCCGTTACCGGCTACGACGATGACGGAAGCACTGCGGATCTTGCCCAGACGGGTCTGGTTAGAAACGGATCGAACGACGACTCTCTTGGTGAGAATGGAGAGGATATCGCTAATCTTCATGCCGGTGGCCTGCTTGAGCTTGATGAAGCGACCCGTGGGGTCGAGGCCGTCGTCCTCGACGTCTTCCGGAGGTTGGTAGAGTCCCTTGACACCCTCGACCTTGCCGAGCTCAGGGGCGAGCGCCGAAGTGCCCTTGCCGTCGGCTTCCTTCCACAAGGCTACGCGGGAGCGAAGAGGGTTCTCCGAGGTGCTCAGGGAGCCCTCCAGCTCGTTGAAGAATTCCTGGTCAAACTGCTTTAGCCAGTCGTCGGTTGCGATAGACGCCGCCCCGGCCTTCTTCTCCTTCTTCGCCCCAAGCACGTCGGCCTCGTTGTCGACAAGGAACTTGCGGCGCAACTCGGGGTTGGTCTCGAGCTCGTGCAGCTCCTCCTCGGTGAAGTCGAGCTTCGCGGGGTTCGTCTTTGAGATGTTGCGCAGCGCCCGGGCAAACGCCTTGCCCATGGTGTCCTGCATCTGGCCGCCGACCCTGTCGGCCATCTTCTCAATGTAGTCGTCGATCCACATTCTCCTCGGGAGCCATTTCGGCTCCACGGGCTTCGCAGGCGCTTGGGGTTTCGCATCGATGATGGGCTGGACCGTTGAGAAGTCGTCGATATAGGGCTGCGTGTAAGGATCCGTCCGTAACCGACCCTGGATCACCAAATCTTTCGGGTCAATGGCCTCCTCGGCGGCCTGGAGAGCTTCCCACTGCTCGGGGGTGTACTTCTCCTTCAGAAACTCCTTTTGTTGTTCCGTGTACTCGGGGAAGTGTTGTTTCGCATACTTTTCGATGGCATCAGGGGTCGTCAGACCCATCTTCTCGGCGGTGATATTGTTGAATCGTGACCGCCTCCGACCTGACCTGCTAACGGAGCTGTGGAATAGACGGTAGGGAAGGGCGGCCGGTGCGCTCGAGGCGGAAGAGACGCATCTCGACAAGACGCTCCGCGCCGGGCGTACCGAGTTCATCGCAGCAGAGAGAGGCGACGTCTCTGCGCCAGTTCGTTGCCGGCAGCAAAGGGGTAGAATGAGGTCGTCGGGGAGTGGGTGCAAGTCGCGTGATGGGCTCTTTTGGTCTTGAGCTCAGGGTCGCGCCAGCTAGTCGACAATTTTTTTGGAAAGCTCAATTGGATCGTCTCGCAGTCGATTGCCTTGGACGGATCCAGACCATATCATTGGTCAATAAGCCCGGTCTTCTCCCGCCCGTGGCCCGTGCAATCACGGGCATGACGGCGCGGAGATGTTCCTCGAGTCACATGACCATAATGGGGCGGACGACTTGTGATTGGTGTCATACCGAAAGGTTGCAGCTCACCGAGACTGTGCTGAAGTCCAGGGGCTACCTAGCTTACCTAATTCTGGAGTGCACGGTCACTCCCGTCTTCATCGTTAGCGACCGGCCGACCTCTGTCAAGCTTATATCGCAAAGCATTTGGACTGGAGTAGGTATTATGTGATATTGGTGAGTATCATTTCGAAGGTATCGCGAAGCCAAGACTAAGCTTTCCCGACCGGAAAGAGCGCAAAGAACTCATTTGATGTCGTTGCCAGCTCAACAACCACATGGCTAATCCGATGTGTAATAATTCTTGCCTGTAACAGAACGTCTTTCCCGTGAAGAAGCCCAGGTCCCCTTTTAGTGCCGAAGTAACCGCTGCAGCTCGTCCCTGCACAGCCAATCACCCGCAGCAGACATCAGTCGACTTTCTGCCGCAGGCCTGAAACACGCATCGATGCCGCCCCTCCCCTGGCAGCGACCTCCCTCATACATTCAACCACGATGCGGCCATGTCGCGTCCTGGTCTCATACCCCCAAGGCGGTCTAGCCTGCGAAAAGGCACACCGCGGTGGTGGCATGGCCACCGTAGGGCCACCTCCTCGCCCTTGAAGCGCACCCAATTGTGACGTCTCCCGTTTCGAGAAGCCGAGCGGATCATTTTCCCTACATCTTGGCCCCTACTAACCCTCCTATTCTTTTCCTTTCTCCTTCTGGACTGCTTTTAGCATCTCGTGTTTCCTGCTGTCGAACAAAAACCTTCTAATCCGGTCCCCCAACAATACGTACATTTTTTTGTTGTTCCCTTGTGACTGGCGCACTTGAGACTCAGGCCTTCATTTTTGACTTTCTTGTACACACCTTTAATTCCAACCACCACAGTCCATACCGCCCATCACAGGTGCCTGAGCAGACTTCGCACCTCTTCAATCAGCCGCCGAAAATCAAAGAGCGGCAAGGCGCAAGCCAGCACGATTCTGTGAGCTATCGCGCTTGCACCGCACCCGAACATCGATCAGCCCCGAAAGATTCGAGACCGCAACAATGGGTCAATTCGACTGGTTCCGATCTATTGGCGCGACGCCTGAGGCTGTCGCGGTTCTGAATGACCAGCCCATTCTCTTCACTATCCTCCTGATCGTTCTCGTCGCCGTCATCCTCCAGGGAGTGCTTCTCTGGTACATCCACTTTGCGACATTGAAGCCCGAACAGAAGAAGAAGAAGGAGCCGAAGAAGGGAGGCAAGGGAGGAAAGAAATGAGAGGGATTGCGGCCTGAAAGGCACGCATTTTTTCGGAAGATTCGTTGCGAAGACAGGCGATGGGACCTGTATAAAGTGGTGGATCATCAACGCCATTACGTCGCTGAGGGAGACACAATGCATGCCCAGGCACTAGAGGAAACATCGCGGTGGCGAGCTCTTCTCAGCTGCAACTATGGGGCGAGAGGTTGGATAATGAATTGTATTAAGGCTTCAGAAATGAGTCGGTTTTATGGTCGCGCTTGAGCGGCAGATACCACAGTATGTGATGCTCGAATGTCACAGGCTGCGTTCGACATCCATTTCTTGCAATATATCTCTTGAAACTCCGTTCCCTGACCCCAGTGTGGACATTGGCGAAATGTCAGCCCCCAGGCTGCCAGTAGGTTTTCGACGGTTGATCTACTCGATTTGATCATCGTAAAGGTCAATTTCGCTTCCGGAGAAGACTTCGCTTGGCCAGATCCCATCATCATCATCATCCGCTTGGCGGTCATGCCTGGTTGGTTGGAACGACAGCTCCGAGAGCGGCCCCTTATCCTCGTCCTCGTCACTTTGCCAATCGCAGTATGATACGAGAGAAATCGACCGTTGCCTTTGGTGGTCATTAGCATGGTGGCCTTCTCCGAAGTCGTTCTCGCCGTTATCAGGGCCGAAGTTCGACCGATCACTGTAACTTGCAGGACCGACCGCGACCAGTTCTCGCAATGAAATAAGAGGTGGCAGTGATGTATCTGCCAAGTTGAAAGCTTGATTCGGCGTATGCCCCTCTGAGTCGGCCTCGCTGTTTGGTTCGGAAGTTCTTACAAAGTACGAGGAGGGTCGTGGTGAGAGTGGTGAGCTATAAGCTTCTAGATGGGTTTCGTAGTCCGAAATATCTTCTGGGTAGCCATCCTCATCGTCGAATGCTTCATGCTCGTGTCTGAGCTCGCTCCGGTCCATGAGTAAGTTCATAGTCAGGGGTGAAGAAGGCAATAGCGGATTCTCGTCAACGGTCCATGAAGGCGACGTATTCTGGTCAAACTCCATATCGATGTCTGACAACGTCTCTAGGACATCGCGACCCTGATTCACTTCACATCCATCATTAGTCGCAAGGCTGGTTTCTTCATGGAGTGAAGCTTCATCCTTTGACATAGTTCCGTACGCAATCATGGCATCAATGGCCGGTACTCTTGAGTATTCCTCCGGACGCGTCAATCCTCGGAATTGTTGCTGTGAGAATTTAGTCTCTTCGCAAGCGGGTATCTGCGCACGTATAAGCCTCCAAATTAGGTGTCCAAAGTCATTGGATTCATGATTCTGAGCTGTGCTTTGAAGACTGCCTGTGGGGATGCCATGAGATGCGGATGCATAATCTCGTAGTTGACGAGACTCAATGTGATTAAGGTCCTGAAACACAGAGGACAACGCTGGTAGGAGGCGAGACCGACAAGTCAAGGACTTTGTCTCGGTTAGTTCTCGCGTCGGTATCAAGAATGGTCAGACGGACAACCCACCGAAAGATAGTTCATGTTGAAAATCTCGGGCACGAGGCATATAATTGGTGTTCTCGTCGTGCTCAGTGTTCTGATACCGCCCACAGCCCTGCGACCGACAACCAACGTGTCGAGACCAGCTTCTACAAGCCGACCTATGGGAGAAGTAACCTCTCCATCTTGAGGCCTTTGTTTGTCGCATGCAGCGGCAGCATCGCAAGGTAGAAGACATACGCCTGAGTCTTGGCTGTTGAAACGATCGTCGATTTCGTCGGGTGAACCCTATTCCACAGACGAGACGCCCAAACCAAAGCCACTTTCTGAATCAAGGCGAGAGCCATGACTGCTAGTCATCGATGACGTCCTTTGATAGGCTGATTCCATAGGACCTTCGGAGATGGATGATTCCTGATGAATATAGAAGGAGCAGGTCAGATGCTGCATAGTAATGACCGTTGTGTTGGGAGGTAGAGTTGGGTGTAAGACAGCTTCTTTATGCTCAATCTTGAACGATATATGCCGATGGCTGGAAGGACTCTCCACATTGCGCACTATATCGATTCCTAGCTGGGTCCAGATCTGTAACCGATTAGCAAGTGCCAGATATCATCTCATCAATAATGCTGCTTGCCGGATAGCTTGTTATGTCAGCGGCAATGGTGTCCACGAAAACCGCTTGGTCTTCTGCATTGCTTTCCTCCCGGGTGAGCGAGACTAGGAAACAGCAAGTCTGAGCCTTGAGTATGAATAAATCTCCTGCTTGAATCCCAGCGAGCAGCTCGTTGATATTTGAAAATAGTTTTCGGTCTGTTGACGAGCGGAAGGAAACTGTACTCGCGATGTTCAGGACAGTTCCAGTGTTGGGGTCAGACAGAACAACTGGGTCAAGCGATAGAGCAATGGTGGTCATGGTTTGGGGGGGAATGGTACCTCATCGTCATAGAGGAACACTTTGTTTCGGTGGTTTTGGGAAATGCATTCAATGGAGAGCAACGAGTGTCGTTGAAATCTCAGATGCTCAGGTACAAGGTACCTTGAGGTACCACCCTAGGTCCATTTGGAAGGAAGGATTGTTCATCTCACTTGGGAAGCAACAACGTACCCGCCGGCAGAAAACTTTAGGGCGATACCTGTGAGGACGACCGACCCATCACATTTCACATGGCAACAATGACACTAATTGACTACCTACTTACTTCCTTGGGGGCAGATGAACCCACAATTCAGGCGTCATTATTGCTGCACTGCGGGTACGGCGTGCATGTACGAATCTATAGCAGCGAAGGAAACGGAGGTATTGCCGTCCTCGAATCTGAGTTGAAGTCCGGATAGTGCGATAGCCCAGGTGAGTGGGTGTAGTCAAAGTCTTGGGCTAGATGTTTGGCCGGAAATACCGGTCCGGTCGGATGTTGAAGGACGCAACTTTGGAAGAGGTCGAGATCCGAACCGTTGTCCCCCACATGTCTAGCGTTGTCGCTGGCCGGTAACGCGCATCCTACCTATCAGTGTTGTCGACGATAAGCTACCGACCCCTACGAGTGATGAAAAGAGCGTTGCGCTGGGGAAATAAATGCAGAGCAACGAGCTCTTCAAGTTTTATCAAGATAGCCAGCTGCTGGCGGCGACTACTTTCCAGGCCGGCTTATGTTTTGTTATCCACTTTGCTACTCTTGAGCGAGCTGAACGCAAAGGAAAATCAGGAGGGAAGAAAAGTTTGACGACTGCTTAGTTACGACTCTGCATCTCTGCTGCATTTGTGATAAGGCAGTGACAGCTTCCAGGTGTTGGTTGACCCCACATGATGTGCTGAGACCCCGGTCGTGCTGTGTCATCCGCGGCAGGGTCATATCCGGTTCTCTGGGCAAGTTCTAGCACGTCGTTGCTACCGCCAACTCTCTGTATGACGCAGGCACCACTTTACACTTCACAACCTCTCACTAGGATTTGCCTTACTCACCAAGCCGGGTCATCTCCCGTAACACCAAGAGAAGTCACTCCTAGCACTGACTGTAAAATCTCATTGCGAATAACGAATCCCGGCCAGCTTCCAGCCCATCGTGATTCCAACTGTTGAGCGCGTCATTGTCGGTGTACATCTTCCACGCGACTGCCACCACAAACAACATAACAACTCCGTCTGTTCACGACGGAACAAGCCCAGGGAAAAAAAACTTAACGACACCACCACAGACTGCCTTGGCTGCAGCCCACACGACGACTCGTTGTTCACCCTGGCGCAAGAAAGGAGCTAGGATCTGCGTTTGTGGCCCTGCACCACGACACAACCAGGACGGCATCTGACTATATCCACCCACACGTCTCGTCCACGCCCGGGGCTAATTCTCCCCTCACGCCTCTCCCAACGACACACCTTCACTCAACCCGCACTGCGCGGAACTGCGTTCAAGGACGCCCGCCCGCTTTTGAGCATGCCTCTTTTCGATCTCGGCTCTCTATTTCTCGACCACGTTGTTTTCATCACCAACCTTGTCTACATGAACATCGCCCTCTCCAATGCTGAACCCAGCCTACTCTTTCCTCTTTACGTTGTGTCGAAGCTACTGGCTCGAGGACCTGAAGATTGGGATTCTCCCACCGCAAAATGGCCCCCACCCATGAAATGGTAGCCAACTGCGGCTACCAGACCCCGGATGAACACAGCAATCGTCCCTCGTACTTTGCTACTCCGAACGAATCTCCTTTGGCATCATTGCCCTTACCTAGATCTCCTTTGAGACGGCCCCCCTTTGTTCCTCGCTCCTCCCATGGACCAGCCTTTGAAACGGAGGATAGCACGGCGATGCCTGCGGCCGAGCGGCAGGCAGAGTCGAATGAGTCTAGTCCAAACAACGCCAAACCTACGCTGGAGAAGCATTTTAGCTTGGGCAAAGTAGGAATTCGAGATCGGATCGCCTGTCATACCTGGACTTGGTTCACTATGGTAATATACCCGCTTCCCTGAACAAGGCCGATGCTAATGATTAGTAGACGATGGTAGGCAGTACGTGACAAACCATATTCAGAAGATACTGATTTAACGTAGGCAACCGGAGGAATGGCGAACGTGATACACTCTCGTCAGTAAACCGAGTACTACCTTTCGGCGCATATGCTAACTTGGAATAGTCCCCTACCAAGCTGCCTGGCTCAACGGCATAGCCGTAGCATTTTTCCTGCTCAATGTTATCCTCTTCATCATAAACTGTGCCCTCGCCAGTATTCGATTCAAATCCAGACCAGGGGCCCTCACCCATTCATTCACAGACCAGACGGAATCGCTCTTCATTCCTTCTGCTGTTGTCTCGTAAGCCACCTAACCGATTCCGCTGGGGCATCAACTGAATATCTACAGTTTCGCCATCATATCGATCAACATATGCCAGTTCGGTGTGCCGCATGTAGGGCCCTGGCTCCTTAGAATCATGCAAATTCTATTCTGGTTCTACATAGCCTTGAGTGTGCTTGCTAGTGCCACTATTTACCTGATTCTTTGGTCGACATTGTGAGCTTCCTCTCAGTCTACGCGAGTAGTTTCGGTCTGCTTAACGTTGATCAGGATATTTCCCATTCATACCATGACTCCTACCTGGGTCTTCCCAGCCTACCCTTTGCTCCTCACGGCACCTTTTGCGAGCAACCTTATACAAGCTGCTGTACAAACGAACCAGCAGGTCGTCACTCTCAATAGGACTGCCATTGCTCTCTGTGCAGTCGCTACGCAAGGCGCGGGCTGCTTGATTGCCTTTATGATCTCTGCTGCCTTTATCTATCGGCTGATGACGCAGAAATTACCGCGGGATTTTCAACGTCCTGGTGTGGTGCGTAATTGTTCCTGGTACAAATGTGAACCGGTGACGCTGACCAAATCAGTTCATTTCTATTGGGCCATTTGCCTTCACGGTCGGAGGCTTAGGTAGGGTTTCCCTTATTGCTACGGTTGGATGCCCGACTAAATGCTCCAGTTCAACTCGGCAATTCCGCAGACAAAATTCTGCCCAGCAATTTCCTGGGCACCGACCTTGCCGTGCCCATCATCAAAGTCATGTCAGTCTTGATCGGGCTATGGCTCTGGGGTCTGAGCATGTGGTTTTTTATCGTCTCCGTAGGATCACTTTGGAAGTATGTACGGCCAGAGAGCAAGATGCCTTTCCAAATGACATGGTGGTCATTTGTCTTCCCGAACACTGCACTTGTTACGGCCACGACCGCGCTTGGCAAGGCTTTGCAGAATAACGGATTGCAGATATTTGGCTGCGTCTTCGCAGCGTGTCTGATAGTCATATGGTTTATTGTATTTGTTACGATGATTCGGTGTTTGTACAAACGGGAGCTCCTATGGCCAAAAGATACCCAATAGTGGACATATTAGAGGTCTACTTCTGCAATGCAATCGAATAAACGAAAGAAAAGAAAAATTGACTGTAGCATGACATTTCGTGGCATGATCTTGTTTACTCGGTGAGTTATTCCTTGAGACGTGAAATAAATCGGAGCCAGACGTTGAAGGTACCGATTCTCGGGCAAGGGAGAGCAGCAGCGGGTGAAAGTGGGGCTAGCTACCCGCCCAACCTCTCACCACTAAACTCAGTGCATGGATTCATCCATTTGGATGAGACTTGTCCTCAGCGAGTCAACATTTCGGGACAACACGCCCGATATCTCATCTCTTTAATTTCCGGCATCGAACGCCCACAGGAAACATGTCGTGGGATTCTAAATCGGCGTTACATCGCCGACAGAGCAGCAATGCTGGCGCCACCAAAACTCTACCTATTCACACTCGCGAACAGTCGGAAGCAACAATCCAACCCAAATCAAGCCATGTAGCAGACGATTTCCTGCAGAGCTTCCTGGATCCTTCTTTTGACCCAGCGGCATATCTGAATGCTACTCTGCCACCGCTTCAACATGGTGGCTACCACTCATCACGAAGCAATGGCAACGGTCAGGCCGTCCCGCTGGCCGACTTGTCCAACGAGGCGCAAACGCTGCTGTCCCAGCTCAACATCCACACGACGAGGCTTTCCGGCACGTTGACCCAGTTGACGGATGACATCCTCCGTAGCGGCAGCCGGCTCGCCTACGAAGTCGAGCTCCTCCGAGGTGAGACCCTGAGTCTTGCTGAGACGATGAATGAGACGCTGCAGGAGGACATCAAGAAGTTCGCGCCGAGTGGTGTGGATCAGGAGGCCAAGGGAACGGTACCGAAGGCCGCGGACGGGCAAGAAAGGAGAGAATCCGTGGGCGCCAGCAAGGCCGGCGACGACGAAGCTACGGCCACGGAGGGCAAGGCGGAAACCTCAGAACCACCCTACATCAACCAGCTGCGGACGCTGACGGTGGTCCGCTCCCGCCTCGACACCGTCATCAAGACCTTTGGAGACGCCATGGAATTCGTCTTTCCGCCGTCGGAGCTCTCGGTCAGCTCGTCCTTCCTCTCGGTCTCGGCGCCCGACCCGGGAGCGGAGCAGCACAGCACGGAGGAGAAGGGCCAGCAGGTGCTGCAGGGTCTGCGGGATGAGATCTCGCAGCTGCTGACCAAGTCGGAGGACCCCGTCAAGGGCATCGAGAAGGCGGCGCAGCGGATCGAGGAGCTCAAGGAGCTTAACAAGGTCTGGAAGGGCACGGCGGAGGAGAAGGGCAGGACAAAGTTCATTGAGAGCCTGGCCAAGATGGTGGAGGACCGGCATCGGGATCTCATGAGGGAGGTTGATCAAGCGAGCAGGAGGGATGGGAATGAGGGGCGGGCGAGGAAGGGGAGTGTTCATGCTGATGCCGCGGAGACCAAGACGTATCTCGGGGGTTACGGCTTGATGAGCCAGCTCCAGAAACTTAGAAACGGGCTGTAAATATTATGATCGATGAGGCCGGGCATCTCATGGAGCTTTGCATGCAAGCGGTAAAGCACTGGATCCTGAGCTTCTAGGTGATAGCGAGAGCTCATGACCTATAACCTCATGAAGGTGAAGATGGTGGAATACAATACAGAATGAGAGATTCAATCTTTTATTTTGTCCTATCTCGATTTATCTTACATCTGTTGAAATCGAAGCCTTCCCTGGTTAGGTATACCTTATATCTTAGAGTGTTCGTCTCATCAGTCTTTTGGGTGGAGGTTGTACCTTGCGAGCTGGAAGTCTTGGGGGTTCGGCCTAAAATCGGCATGCGCTGAATTGCAGCTGGCAGGCCACCTCTGCTTGTTTTTTCATCCCTTCCACACACTAAGTGCCCTGGCCCCTGCGGAAGTCATCGGGCAACCCCGTCCAATAAGAAAAATTCACCCCTCCAGCGGTCAGGTACAGAACTCGGAGGCGCATGCGGTCACTTAGCGGAAAGGCTGACAAGGCAAGCACACACTGCACAGGACCATCTCGTTCTGCAGTACCCTCACCTTCCTCCAATTCTACGTTCTCCCACACAAACACCCCAGCAAGAGCTACCACCTCGAATGGGCGGCTGAATGATATCCTCCATATTCGAGAGTCGTGAATTAGAGGCACCTTCTCTGTCGAATCGACTCCCGAATCCTTTTCCTCCAAACTCCTCTTCCAGCGAACTTCGTCTTGCTTGAGCTCCGGTTTGCGACGGTCGCCCTACACACATCCAGACCGTACCATTCTCTCCAGGTACAACAACGCTACTCCCCTTGAACAAACGAATTGATTATATTTCCAAACGGCCAATACACGAAGCTATCCATCATCACTATAATGGCAGCCAACGAAGCAGCCATCCCCAATTTGGGGGGTGCTTCCGCTCAACCAAAGGCCGGCCGAGCCTCTCCGGCGCCCCAATCGAAGCGCGACCGCAAGCGCCAGGCACTTGTCGACAAGATCGCCAACCTGCAAGAGAAATTCAGTCGGGATCGTGACCTTGGGTACCGCGATCAGCTTCAGAAGGTCCAGGTTGACACCAACCTCGTACAGCGCATCGACCCCTACGCCGACGATGTCCTGAACATCATTGCCAGTCTGCGACAGGAACATGAAGAGACGCAAGGACAAGAGGCGCTTTCCGACAGCAACCGCACTCTGCTCCAGATGGCGGGCCCCAACTTTGAGGACTTTGTCCAAGGCATTGAGGATCTTGTTGAATACAGAGACTTTCATTTGCTTCAGCACATGGTAAGTGTGGCCGACTTTTCCCTGTCCTCACGTCGGCAAAGCTAATGAATGCATACAACAGCACGAGCATGAGCGTCGCCTCCACCAATACAAGAACGAATACCTCTACAAGGTCGAAACTGCTAAGCGCGAGCACCAAGCCCTTTCTTCAACACTCCGCGATAGACTCGTTAATACCCTGCTGTCAAGGAAGTACCGCCTGAACAAGGAGAAGGAAGCCTTGGAGATCTCAGATTCCTCTGCGCTGCTGCTCCACCCCAACCAGTTCAGCATCACCAACCCGGCAAGCCCCGGTGGCACTCACGGAAAACGCGCGACGAGATTACGCAAGGACGCCGAAGAGCTTGCCAGCTATGCTGACAGCAAGAAGCGCAAGAGGCACCCCGGCGAAGACGACGGCTCCCCCGTTCCGTCCCGACGAGCGCTCGACCCCAACAACACAACACCTCTCTGGCAGAACGAGAAGCTTCGAGTCGCCGCGAAACAAAATGGCCCAGCCTACAGCATTGATAAGCTCTTTACTGAGAAGGAACTCAGCATGGCCTACAACGCCGCAGCCGTTGCTTCCCACAAGCATATCCTTAGACACAAGCCCTATGCGAACGGGGGCTCGTCCCCGGGCAGCGACTCTGGCAACGGCGATGAAAACGGTGAACACGACAGCGAGGCCCTGTCCGCTCCGACGATGGAACGCACCAGCTCCCATGCCACTAGAAGCACGAGGGCCGGCATCAATCAGAACCTGATCGATGCCGTCGAGGGAGCCAATGGCTTGGAACTGCCCAAGTACCTCGAAATCATGCAGCCACACGAACCTGCCAAACTGCCGTCGGTCTCTGTGACCAACTACTTCAAGCCGGTCAGAGGTAATACTGACGGCAACCTGCCGCAACCGCTGTCGCACGACGAGATCAATTCCGACATAATGGTCATGGACATGTTCAAGAAGTACGACTACAACCACAAGCCCGGCGACTCCATCGACCATCCCAATGGCAGCAGGAGGATCTTGGAAGCGTCCATTACGCCTTATACCATGACTCCGTACACAGGATTCAAGCCAGGCCCTCGTCCGGATCCAACAAAACTTCGTGAGGATTTGATGCCAATCGAGAGCAGCATTAGAGACGAGGCTCCCCCATCGTCCCTCGCGGCCATTGCAGCCGTCCCCATGAGCCGTACCAGCAGTGCAACCGGCGGCGCAGCGATGAGCCGACAGGGAAGTGCGCGCGGCAAGGGTCGTAAGAACCAGAACCAGTGATGACGTACGAGCAGTTGAATGGTGTTTCGGCGTTTGGGAAACAAAATGGTTTTGATCCAGGCAAAGGATATTTGGTAGGAGTGTATTTGAACGACTTTTGGGGGCAATCATCAACTCCATTGAATGCGGTCAAACTCCACAGCATTGAGCAAGCTTTCATCTCTTTTCTCTCTTTTTCTTATCATGATGAAGGGGTGCATCTAGTGAACAATACATCGAAGCACAGCAAAGGTTGGCATGTATGATGTGGCAGAGGGGTGGTGCAACAACGGATAGACGATAGTCTCGTCCATATTTATAGGGGTGTGGCACGGCATTGATACCCCGATGCTCATAGTTGAAAATATTCATATTATCATTGACTCATCAAGTACAACTCACATCAGCTCCAGATTAGTTTATTTCTAAGGACCAAACACCAGCGCCCGTACTTCGATGCTCTCCCGGCCCACAGCATCAGCCCTCGTTCTCGGATCTTCGAAAGCAGTGTGAGCCACGCGACCTCCCTCGACACCGGTGCCGTCCCGGAGACCCTCGCTGTCAAAGCACTCGAGCAGCAGCCGCTCGTCTCCCGTCATGCCGCTCAGGTAGTACCACTTTTGCTCCGGGCTGAACTTGATACCCGCCGTCTCACCGGTGTAGCCCGTGGTATACCGGTGCTCGATGGGTACGATGTCCTCGTCGGCCAGCGTCGAGGAGGACGCGAAGCCCAGGGGAAAGGACTCGACGGGCGTCTTGTTGAGCGGGCGCCAGACGTTGATGATGCGGTACCGGCCCGCGAGGAGCTTGTCTGCTTCTTCTTCGGGGAGGTGCTTCTTCACGCGCTGGATGACGGAGGACGGGGTCTGGTCTATGTGGACGCGGGTGACTGGGTTCCGCGGGGCCTCGGGGTCGGCGCGGCGGATGGTGTGGTCGAAGAAGAGGACGCGGGTGCTTCCCGGGACGTGTTCCAGGAGGAGCTTCTCGAGTTCCGGGTAGTAGTTTTCTCTGACGGATTCGTCGTCTGTGAAGTCTTTCTCTGCGGAGGGCGGGAGGTCGCGGATCACGGCGAAGGCGTCGCGGTCCAGGGAGAATTCCGATTCGCGGCCACGGATGTCGTTGAGGACGGTTTCTGTGGGAGCGTCGCCGTAGTTTCTGGAGGGGGGACCGTCTGGGTTGATGAGGTTGTAGGGGGACGCGTTGTCGGCGGGAGCGGCGAAGAAGTTTAGGGTTGCGCGGACTTGGCCGCGGGGGACTCTGTCGATTGCCATTGGGAGATGAGGTCTGGGTTTGTGGTGCACGATGATATCTAGAGCTTTATGCTGAAGGTTGTAAATGAGGTTTGATCTTTGTATAATTCACGTTGAGTCGTTGATAAGCGTGGCGATGAGATGATGTTAGTGGGATCAGTGATATCTTGGAATATTTCCTTCTCCTAGCAGCAACCTTTTCTTTCTTTATATACTGTAACACTTGGATGCTGTATTTCAAAGCATGATGATAAATGAAGCCATTCAAAGCACCGAATATGGGCCTATGCTTGTGAGAGAGCAATCACGTCATTTGGAGTCGATTGGTCTGAAGAGCCTCGGTGCGGAGGTGATTGGGTCAATTGGATTAGATTAGTCAGGTTGGAGACGATGCGTGGCATCTCTGGAGGTTTTCGGGTTCTTGGGGTCTAGGTACTGTGGTCGGTTCCCGGTTTCCGGGGTTTGTACATAGAGGAGGACAAGGCATGGTGGGCATTAGTCAAGGGCGTAGGTCAAAAAAGGCTTGGAATTACGCCTCGTTTGATTGAATGTGATGGACGGGCCTACCTACCTAGGTGGGATACCGTACTCCGTACTTCGCACTATCGTAGACAAAGACAATTGAAGGTGTGAAGGATATATTTCTTTTGCGAATGTAATTGTCTGCCTGAGCAGCCACCCTTCCTTCGTTCTTGTCTTTAGCCATTCAACCGTTGATCCAGAGACGTACATGAACGTACATCAACACAATGAAAAGACGAGCGCTAGAATACCTAGGTATACAGTTGGCCTAGGTATCTGTGTCTCTCCTGACTTCCGTATAGAAGTTGTTGTTAGTGGTTCGTGTATATGTATTAAAGTTCGGTCTTTGACAGACAGCCTTAATTTTTTCAAACGGCAAGATCAGATCGGAATGCCGAGAGCAGCCGGCAGAAAGTGTAAAATGCATTTCCTGAAGTTTTACTGCTTTGGGGGCCAGTGACTAAGCGGGAGGCGATCTGGGGAAGCTGGTCAATGATGACATTGCACAGTGTCCAACTCGCCGTGTTTGAGACAGTTTCAACACGGCCGCAATTGCCGTTCCCCCTAACCACACCTTGCCACAGCACTATAGTTACCACTTCCACCACCAAGCTCCATCTTCAGCTCGATCCCTCTCGGGGGATTCCTTCCCAGCTTCCGGATGGCCCTAAGCGCAATGGCGCACCTGGTTGCAGCGACCCTGGCTGCAGCAAGACCTCGCTTCTACGGTTCTGCCACCCAGGGCCTCCTCTCCCACTCCTACCTACCTTACTGCGTACCTAGACCTCTACACTAGTCTCTGCCCCCCCCAGTGGTGGTGGCCCCCTTTGACTGGCATTAGGACTGCTCAATGCTCTGGTGGTGACAAAGGCTAATTTTAGCACGTCCCTCTCTCTCCTTTGCCCGTCCATCGCTCTCTCGCTGGGGCCCTAAATTAACCCCGACTTTACCAGCTCGATTCGATTCAATGTTTAGATTGACCCAAGCTTTCCTCTCATCTCGAAAAAGAGCCGTTTGGATCTGACTGTCCGTCACCTAAGTAGATGAGACCGTGAGCTACGGGACGGACTGCATCGGTTTTACCCACCCCCATCTTCTCCCGGGCCATTCAGCCTCTATCACCTGCTCTTGTCTCGAGAACAGACAGAAAGACGCATCTGGGACACTCTCTGCCCCCCTCGTTGAGCTGGCTCGGTGGTGATGCTGCGCTCACGATACTCATACACTTCGTCGCGTCGTCGTTAGGCTTTAACGCTGTCAACCCGTATCGCGCGTGCTGTCAATGCGCGGCCCAACTCTCGCCTCGTCGGTGATGATGTCCAATATCCCGGATTACTCAACACCGACTCATGCGCGATGATATCCCCGCAACCGACGATGCAGCAGCACCAACCGCAGTCGCTCCCGCCGCCGCTGCCACCGCCGCCGTCCGCGGTGCCCAACGGCATGCATGGGCAATCCCCGTCGCCTTCAATGAGGCATCAGCACATGGCCGCCCCACGGTCGTCGACTTCGTCAATCTCGAGCAGCAGGCTCACCCTCCCGGACAGGAACGTGACGGCGGACACCATTGAGGATGCCTACACCCACTTCGTCATGTCCTGCAACCCGGCCGTCCCGCCCGACACGGACACGGCGGCGCTGCGGGAAGCTTTCCGGGTCCCGCCCAAGAGCGGCGGCAAGAGCTTCAGCACTTTCACCCTTTTCGAGCTCATCAAGCAGTTGGAGACCAAGGAGATCAAGACGTGGGCAGAGTTGGCTCTCAAGTTGGGCGTCGAACCCCCTGATCAGGATAAGGGTCAGAGTTCTCAAAAGATTCAGCAGTATGCCGTCCGGCTCAAGGTATGTTCCTGTGCATGGTTCAACGAATCGCGCAATAGGCTGACCCTCACAGCGCTGGATGCATTCTATGCATGTGGATGCCTTCTTTGAGTATCTGATGGATCACCCTCACCCTTACTGGACAGAGATCCCAAATGACCCAACGCCAGTGTGTGAAGCGGGAAGGGATGGTGTGCTAGCAGAAGACGACATGGCTCTCCGAGCACTTTTACCACAGATTCGGCCCAGGCGGGGGAGGAAAAGGCCAGAGGACGACGAATTCGCAAAGCCCCCTTCACAACGAGCGAGATTGGACTCGCCACCGACGGGGACGGGCTACGCCGCCGCCCGGCCAGAGACTCTGGGTCCCTGGTCCGCTCATCCCGATGGACGCGCTACGTTCGGCTGCTCTGATCATTTGAAGTTGAGCGCCAACACGGGATCAGTGACGGGCTGGCCTCCGGCCCCTGACACAGCGCAGACGCCGCTCACGGCGTATCCACAGGGCCCGATGTCTGCGCTCACGCCGTCAACGCGCAACAGCGGGTTCTGGGGTGATGCGGAACCAAGGTCGGCTATTACTCCCTCACGACCAAAGGCATCTCACCGGCGACACGGTGCCAAAGTCGTTTCCTCTGCGTGGAGGAGTGGCGGACCAGGAGGCAGCGGCAAGACTCGGGGGAGACCGCCTATGAACAAAACGAATGTCGATGGGCCATTTGTGGCTTTCCCCGCCGAAGGACCGGCGTACAAGCGGCCAAGTCCCGATACCAAGATTGAGCCGGGCCCGATTACACCCCCGGCGCCAATACCCCAGACCGCACCGGTACCACCAGTCGCAGTCACGGAATTACCTACACCGCCGCATATACCGCGGCCGGCCAAGCCGAGTATCTCACTACAGGTTCCGGAACGTCGAGGAGGATCCGTTCGTCTCGCGACGCCGCCGCCTCCACCGATCGTGATCGTCAACGGAGAACCCCCGGGCGAAGTACCCGACATAATAAACTCGACAGCCACAGCACCACCATTGGAGTTCCCGCCCGGTCACAACGTGCCCCTCCCCCCCGGTGCCATACCACCAGTAGACCTGAAAGCGCAGACCGTCCTGCCGGTCGACCCGCCGCCAGCCGCGAAAGGCAGTGGCATACTACCGCAACCCAACGACATCCCCATCGGCATGTTCGAGAACATGAAGGACCGGACCAACATCGACGCCGTCCTGGGTTATTTCGCGCACGAGACGGCTAACGGCGACTGGGTGGACGCGGACAACAACCCTATCGAGAATTGCAGCATCGCCGAGGCCTACGCGCTCGTGCACACCACTGTAGAAAGGATGTGGCAGACGGCGCCGAACCAGGACGCCTTTTTGATTAATCTCGCGGCGCTGGCGGGCGGCAGGGCGCTCATGACGACGAGCAAGCTGCGGGTGAAGCGGGAGGAGGAGTATGAGGACCGCGCGACGTACAGCTGCAGCTGGGAGTTCCGGTTGGGGACGATACGGGGCAACTACAACATGGTGCAGACGGTCATGTACAACCGGTGGCGGCGGCCCGAGGAGAAGCTGGAGAAGCCGAATATGAAGGGCACGGGCGGCGCCGAGTCGGAGTGGGAGAGGAAGTACCGGGATTTGTTGGCGCTGTCGGAGAAGAGGGATAAGGAGATTCAGGCGATGCGGGCTGGGCTTACGGCGAAGCTGAATGAGACGTTTCAGGATGCCAAGGATCTTGAGAATAAGTGAGGGAAGTATGGGGTTTGTAATCATATGTATCCAGGAGGGTTGCCGTTGGTGGGAATATTATATGGGGAAGCATACGGCGCATGGAGATTGTCACGAGGATTGCGTGGAATATCCAGGATTTAGGGGCGTCCTTCAGAAGAAAGACAGGCAAAAGGGGGACGGTGTTGATATCATGCGGATGGCGTAATAATCGAAAGAGAAAGCATAGTGCTGGCGCAGGGTCATGGGAGAGCGTATATCAGGGATTGGACTAGGTGTACAGGTGGAGGGGGCAGAAATACCAAGCGAAAAGCAATGCTTCAGTCATCTTGAGGAATATCCGTCAAACACTCATCACACGCTTAGGTCCACTACAAAATCTAGTGAATATCTAAGCTAAGACTTGAAGATGAGCTGCTATTCGAGTTCATTTCAAGGTGGACTGAGAAGGAAGAGTGGAGGAGGGAAGGGGGCTTACTAAGGTCCTCCAGATCAGAGGTCCAGAGCTATCAGCCAATGAGATGCAAATCACTCAACTACAACAAACCTCACTCACTGACTGTAGATTCGACGACTGCTTCCTCCTACTTACTCAATCAGTCAATTCTCGTAGACTCTTCAAAATGCTCATCAAGGAGTCTTACGTAGACGTGCCGACCAAGGCCGACGGCAAGGATGGTTCCATGAGTGCGTGCCAACCGACCTCGTAATAATGGTACTCGAAAGCTGACAATGGTAACAGGAATCTTCGTCTTCCACCCTTCCATTCCGGGCTATCCCCAGGCGTAAGTGATCTTGATTCAAAAATCAGATTGAAAATCCCCAACTTACAGATACTGCAGCAAGTTTCCAGGCGTCTGCCTCTTCTCTGAAATCTACCAAGGTCAGTCGGATCATGCCTCTTCTCCATGGCGGCGGCGGGGTCTACCCAAAAAAGCTGCCCTTTCCCCCGCAC